GTGCCCTCCATTGTACCCGCCAAGTGCGCGTCTTTTAACAGACTGGGCCATTGACTCTGCTGCTCTTCACCATCTGGATTTTTATCTTTCTTTTTAATCTTTTCCCTTTTAACTTGTCTTTTTATCTTTTTTTTTTTTTGGACTTTAATCATTAAACTTTTTAAAGCCCTGCTCACAATCGCCGCAGTCTGTTTGGTTTTATGTTTTTTTTAAGATGATCGCACCTCTCGGGTGCCACATTTGTCCTCCTGACTTTGGTTTCTGACCTTCCCCAAGTGGGTCGAGAGTGTAGATCATCAGCTGGGAGATGGGGCTCCTCAGTGTTGTGGAGGGATGCTGAGCTTCCACCTCGCTGTAAAACTGGACGCACTCTGAGCCGAGCTTTGTCCTCTTGGGTTTCTGGTTGCAGGCTTTTGTGTTGAGGGCTGCATGGTGCAGGCGGTGCAGCTTCTGGCTTGGGGTTAGTTTCCTGCGCTGCAGGAGGAGGTGGCGGCGGAGGGGCAGCCTCACAATCCTTTTCTGGCTCGGTCGTGCTCCACGTGTTGACGGTGCTCCTGTGCCTGTTGAGCTGGTTTTTGAAAGTCCGCTCAATCTGACTGTTAAACTTCATGAGGATCACATAGCTTATGTAGCCCAGCACCAGCATCAAGCTCTCCCACCACCAGATCACATTGTCCAGGAAGAAGACGATAAGCATGATGAGGTCCAAGATGTAGAAGTTTATGTCCCTAAAGAGAGACCACCAGGTGAGGTGCAGCATCTCCCTGGAGAAGATAGCACACATTCCGATCACAAACAGGATGTTAAAGACGGCTGAGCCCACGATGGTGCCAATGCCCACGTTGCTGTGAGAGATGAAGACACCAATGAGGGAGGTAGAAAGCTCTGGGGCTGAGCCTCCAGCCGCCATGAAAGTGGCTCCGGCTACGTCGTCAGAGATCTCCAGCTTATCAGTGATGGCTCCCAGCGCAGGAATGAAGAACACGTCACAGACTATGGCCAGGGAAACAAACATGTAGATCATGCCAATGATATGCAGAACCACCCAGCCTTGGCGTCGCTGCTCCACTGAGAAGAGGTCTTCTGGGTAGTCTCCTTTACTGTGCGGGGGCTCGAGTGGCTGTTGGGGAGGAGCTGTGGTGGTCAGCAGCGGTGGAGTCGGAGGTGCTCTTGGAGGGCGAGGATCCACATAGTGGCACTCTTCTAGATCTGCCCTGTTGACAATCATCACCAAGGGAGGTTTGGTGCTCTCCAGTACACCCTCCTCCTCAGTCTCATTGGAGGCCCTCACCTCCCAAAGTCTGACCTCTACATCATCCTCACCGCCCCCGTCTGCTCCAGCATTGAACCTGATGGGGGCATGAGGCTGCCTGGTCTTCAGACTCAGCGAGTAGATGCATAAGAGCAGCACGCCTGAGACGAAGAAGAGGATACGGCTGCGGTTGAGCCTCCTCTGAGGAAACTGCATGTTCACCGACTAGAGTACCAGCTGGAAGTTAGGTGAGATGCATTCCAGTGACCTGTTAACAGACAGAAACTCTGCACCCAGCCTACCATCTGATCAGGATGAACCCACTGCTGACACGAGTCATGACTCACCCCTGCCTGGTGCTGAACAGGAAATGCAGCCGACGGATGGTCTGCAAGAGATGAGGACTGATGACTCGGAGAATCAAGTATGCCACCAGAGGTCTTCCCATGACTTGAGGACACCAATATGCCCCGAACATGAAGCCCCAAGACCCCAGAGGGTGAGAAGGGCACCGGCAAGGCTGGCATATGACTCCCCAGGGCAGCCCACCTCAGTAACCTCCCTATCCCTCTGTTCTGTAGGTAATAGGTCAGACATTGCCCCTTCTACTGGTATTCGGTATGTCAGTACTCTGTTTAAATGGATAGGCTCTAGACTCTAGACTATAAGTTTAAGTATGGTCCCAGTCTAGATTACCT